CGTTCAGTTGGGATGTTCCTCTTCCTGCGTGAGCAGGTAGTCAGGTCCGCAGAGGCAACAACCACACCACTTTCGCGGCGCAAAAACGAGTGAGGAGGCCTACGAGGCCGTCGTTCTTCTCATTGGCCCAACCTACAATCATTGGCACCGCCCTCCATTCATCTGATAGTTATCTGATGGTGCGGTTGTTTCGCTGCTGCTTCTCTTCACGTGGAGTGGTGGAGTGAGGTGATAAGGGAAAACAGCTGATATCAACAAGTGAGAACTCGTGCGACCGCACCTTCTCTTCGCCTTGAGCACGTACAACCTCAATTAAGCAGGGGTTCTACATAGGGCCTTTCCTATGATTTCTTTCTAATTTTTCTTCACTAAGGGGTTACTTGCTACCTTGTTATAAGTATTTGAGCCGCATAAGTCATCAAATTTGAATGCGGGTTCAGCCTTTAAATCACGAGACCATGTTCGAAACATCATCTTCTACGAGTGAGGCCGGCACCGGAGCGACGGCAACCGTTCGCAACATCAACAGCGTATGGGGGAGGACACCACTTCCATCGCTACGGTCCATCGCTGGTTCGCTCGCTTCAAGGAAGGAGACACGGACTTCGAAGACAAGCCTCGGTCGGGACGCCCCTCGCCGTCTACGACTCCGTCATTCTCGACGCCGTCAAAGAGGATTGACGCCCGCAGTCTTGCGACGAGACTTGGGTGTGCCCAATCAACAGTCGTCGGTCGCCTTCAGGCCCTCGGTTACAGAAAAGTGCTGACTCGATGGATACCTCATGTCTTGACCGATAGCATGCGGTACACCCGGGTATCCATTTGTCAGTCTCTCCTTCTCCGCCCACATCGCAAGGAGTTTCTGGAGGACCTAGTTACTGGAGATGAAAGCTGGATCCTCTACGACGCTAACAAGCACCGCGCCGTCTGGCTCCCGCGAGGAGAACAGCCGCCGACGCAAGCCAAATCCGACCTCCACCCCAAGAAGTTTCTCCTTTGCTGCTTCTGGGATTCAAAAGGAATGCTGTACTACGAACTGCTCAAGCAAGGCCACACCGTCACCGCTCCCTATTACGCTGCAGAAACTTGCAGAAGCCGTTCGAGAAAAACGGCCTAGACGAACTTTTGTGCACCTCCTCCATGACAACGCTAGGCCTCACATAGGTAAAGAGACCCGTGCAAAATTGGAGGAGCTAGGCTGGGACACTCCACATCCACCCTATTCACCTGATATTGCCCCCTCAGATTACCACTTGTTCCGGCCCCTCAAGGCTTTCCTAGCAAAAAACGATTCGTCAACTATGACCACCTTGAACAAGTGGTCGGTGACTTCTTTGACTCCCAATCTCCCCAGTTCTGGGAGAAGGGAATCGCTGACCTGCCCGTTAGGTGGGACAATGTTATGACTAACGATGGTTATTATATTGTTGATTAGCTTGCATTGTTTGCTGAGTTGTAAAATAGAACAGAAAAAATCTCAACCCTATCAAAACTTTTTGATCAACCTAATAGGTCATTCTTTATTGACCGACACCCATCTCGATTACTCATTCCGGTTTTTTAGCAAATACTCAGAATTCCCATTGACCTGTCGACTAATCTAGACGCCTCTTGTCAAGTCGAGAGGTTCTACCATAATGGCTCAACGAGCTTGCTCCAGCTTCACAAGAGTTCACAGGTTTCACCAGAGTGAGACTTGTAAACCGGAACTAGTGAAGCAACGAAAGTGCAAAATGCTCCCCCCCCCTCGCCTCGTCGCCAAACTGCGCCTCTTTTCTGCGCCGAACTTTCCGTCTCACGCGCCAACAACGTGCTCTTCATTTCATTTATTTAAGATTATGTTCCCAATTTTTATGCTTTCCAAGAGCTGATGTTAGAGAACTCATATGCAGGGCAAGGTGTTCCCTAATGCGGACTGCCGGAACTCTTCCTGTCTCCCCAGTATATGTGGAGTTACATGCCTGACAACGTGTATGGAGCTACATGCCTACTGATACCCATACTTTTCTGTTCGCGCATTCTCTCAAAGCGTTGATCCTTCAAAACGACGACTTAGAGCTGGGGGAGCAGGGTTGGTCGAACCGAAACTCTCCTTTTCTAGGGTTGTTGGATGACACTGCCGTTCCACGCGATGCAGAGCTCAGTGTTCAGTGTTCTGTAGGATAACAAGTCGTCGAGCATATGTATAAGCAGTTAGGAGAGTTTCCTGTCCATAAGACGAGCTACGAAGCTGATTACATTGGGAATTCTTTCTAACGACGAACTTTTTCTTGGTGCCCCGCTGTTCGCGCAGATCAGGGATATGTTGATGTTCTGAGCCTTAGCAAGTGACAACTTGACGACTTGACAGAGTAGTCGGCAAGTTATTACTTGTTCTAGACATAATAAAAGGAGGTTATATTGCTCGGCCTCTCCAATTTTCAACGTTATAACCAATGAAACTTGACTGGAACTCGTTCGTAAGCATTTCGTCCAGTTAAGGAAGATGTCGGTGCCGGTTTTCGGTTGCCATAAATGAAATCACTATCCTTTAAACTAGTGTATGTATGGTTCTGGTTCTGAGGAGGAACTCGCCATCAACTTTCAATGACTCCGTCTGCGGTAATGTGAAGTTTTTTTGTGGTAGTGCTTAGGAGTTAACGGAGGAGTGCCATACGCATCTGTCATACGCCACTGCCTACATGGCAACTCGTCATGAGAAGCACGATCTCAATAGGTCTTTTGCTAGTTTTTCATGAATCTGCTTTCTATAGCCATTCTATCATGTAATATAATGCACAAATCCCACATCCTTGCTCCTTATTACGTGAGTGTATGTAGGACCTGAACAGCGTGCGGGTTAGGTTGAATGGCGGTGCCAACCCCTACCCCCAACTTCTTATTTCAGTACTCATTCTCACCACCTACCCATCATGTCATATTCTTCCAATTCCTTACCAGTTTTGTAATAACCCAAAATTTTTCTTGAGAAAAACTACCCTAGAGCGCAGGATATAGAGAGTAAGAGAAGTTAATTGTGGTAGAAGCCGACCCTCCAAACTTTCCTCCACCGCATGCTTCCATTTTCTCTGCAGCCAACGTTTTCGTACCCATAATCTGTTGATGACGCATCTATAAGCGTTTCTGTTCCCAATCCAGCTCAGTGGCCCAACAAATGTCAAGTAAGTGCATGCGATTTTCTATCTGAAAACTTCTAATGCTTATATCTCGCACAGAAAAAAGAGAAACAAATGGACGAAGAATCATATTTCAAACCTTGAATCACAAAATGGGCAGACGGCATCAAGCTTTGAGTACTAATTGTTCCACTCGCCGTACGAGGAATAGCTAGGATCTCTAACCCGACATTTTCACAGTCACCAAGTCAAAGCAATTTAAAAATGCACACAAGGAAATAACCTTCTAGATAGTGATTAGAACATTCTTGGCTCCTGCAAACTCGCATATCCCAGCCGAGTCCATTGTCCAGTATCTGTCCCACCTGGTAATGTCATCCTCCCAAACGTTCAATCAAGGAAACGACATTGATGTTAGCGTTACCTTCTTGAGCAACCTCTCCTGCTAGTGCTCGCTGTTTGCCAGTCAGCAAGTAGCCCAGTTGAGATGGGATAAGTTGCAGTCCCGATGGTAATCTGTATCGCGGTAACGGAGCTTCCAGTAAGCCCCATAGCTGATCGCATCCCAGCAGCACTTGCGGTTTGGACGTGACCGTCTGCGTGGGTTTAGAAATTCTAATGTTATGACGAGAAACAAAGGCAAGATCTTTGTCAGTCAGCTGGAGTTGTCTGTCCTTTACCTGTTAACACTTGGGTAGTGTATAAACGTACCCCATGTTTCTTTCCGTCCTGATCCCAAATGTCCAACCTAGTGACCGCACATGTAGTGGATGTTCGGCTTCTCCGTGCCGAATGTATACATCAAAAATCCTTGTTGCTCTGCGCAGTTCAGCCCTAACTCGTTTGCGAGCGCAAGTGTAATGAAGGACTGATCGGCTCCCGTATCAAAGAGGATGTCTATCTCTCACCATGTGTTGCGGACGTCATAGCATACTTTTGCGATGCCAGTTAGAAGTGACACATTACTCCTGTCTGTATCGGGTTACCTTAGTGGCGTTATTGCTCTCTTTTCGGCGACGGCAGGCTAAGGGCTCCTCCTATAATCGATGTTGTGACCCTTGCACAACTTCTTGATCCGATAATTATTTCACAGTGCCTTCATTCGCCACACTCAGGTATCTGTTCTCGCCTTTTGCATCATATATCGCCGTTATGCAATGGTAAGGATTCACGGTCAGAGACTACACGTTGTGGAAATGTACAAAATATACAGCCTTGTTATCTCTTATCAGCTGCATTTATCTTGTATGATGTTGGAGCGTCGCTTGTGCTGCGAGATTCCTTGCGAGCGAGATTGCTGTGGGAAACGTTTTTGCTACGGTCGTTATTACTGGAGGGAGTCCTGTCAATCCTAGATTGGATTTGCTCTTCTGTAGTGATGAGCTCATCCGGGTTGGTCAAGATATTCCTCATGATCCATCACCCTCGTGTTTTATCAATGCAGTTAAGGCAGCTAAGGATTCCATGAAATATTTATATTGTCTTACTCCTCAAAATAACTCAATCACCACAGTGATTTACGTCAAATTGGCAGGGGCCAGCTAGGGATCCTTATTGTATATGATTTTTAGAGCGAAAAACTTCTGCAGGGAGCTGAGCCGCGGACAGGAAGGCAGCCAAAGTAAAAGAAACTCAGCTAAGTCCTCCAGGTGGGATGCCGATGTTGGTAATATTATGTTCACGAAGGACGACAGCACTTGGGCAGAAATCGTTGCGATTGTCACAGTCGTCAAGGATCGAGACCGCGAATGATAGAACATTATTTACGAGAGTTCGGCGAGCCCATCATTTTCCTTCAGTATTTGAAGGATGCAGGAATATCGTAACAGTTGGACCGCTGTTAGTCGGGATAATCGCTTACAAACGTTCACGCGCTATACAGTGCATGCCCACGCGAAATAGACAAGCACGTGACCAAATCACAGTTGCTTGAATTATAGCCTCTATTGACAAGGGCACATTAAGCCCCTTACAGCAGTCAGAAAATTCATAAAAATTCACTCAGTTTTTCCCGTAAACTAGAGTAATCGGGGTTGGAGAATGATGAAGCTGTAGAAATGGCCGATAAATTTCGCAGGAGGAAAATTCACTTTCTGACAGAAGAATTTTCCCTCTTTCAATAGCTCCGAGTCACCCGAACGTTTGGAGCGCAGGTCAGAACTCTGAAGTGATTCTATCCTGACTGATAATCGCAATGATATCTGCGTCACTTACTCCGCTGGCAGCTCTTTGATGGTATCAAAGGCCGCGGAGAACTCATTCAACGCGTTAGACAGTAGTGAAGCCGATGCGTTGAGATCGTAAATCAATGCATCGACATGGGTCAGCGTGGGTGAGTCATCCGATCGAGACTTCTGGAAGGCTTCTACCTCAGCGATTACCCTCTGTAGATTGTTAGAGTAGCGTGTTACTAGGCCTTTTTTTGCTCTCAAAGATGGGGGCCCTACCATTTGAAAGTGGAATGAAAACGGCAAAGGCTTGTCAAATAAACGAACTGTCATTGAAAATGAAGTAGAACATAAAAAGGGGCAATCGTCAAAAAAAGCAAGAAAATCTGGCACGGACACCGTAGATGGAAGATGATGAATGCTACAAACAATGTGTTTTCCGCGAAATCTTAGTTGAACCTTCAGCGTTAAACCAGTGTATTATGTTGGTGCCAGGAATTGAAGTTGAAGGAAAAATCCGATTGTTCGTACTTCTAGCAGTCCGAGTAGCAGTAGCCGATGCACCGTAAGTTGAATGCTACGTTTCCCTCAATGTCCTGCCACGCGTGAATAGATAATATGAGGATATACCAGAACAAGATGATCACGGCACACACACCACTTTTATCCCTCAAACTTGGGTAATTAAACATTGCCCAAAAAGGAATAAAGTATAAACTAAAAGAGCAAAAGTAATAAAACTATTAAAAGAGGCAGCTGTGCTGCCAAAGGAAAAGGCACTGTCGCCTCCGAGCTTCTCCCGAGGCGGGACTGTATGTTTATAAGAAGAGAGAGAGAGAGAGAGAGAGATGTGTGTGTATGGCTTCGCGAGAGGCTCGAACGCGACCGCATCATGTGAAAGCTGACCATGCTTGCACAGAACATGGGGCATGCATTACACTAAATGAAAGAGATTAATGCTAAACAGAACAAATACGACACTATAACATATACAGAACTAGTAAAATCGCGAATAGTCGCTATACCGACATAGTATGAAATATCATTGTGATAGCGTAGAGTTCACTTTTACTGTCAAGCCCATCACTTTGAAAATGTCTACCTAGAGAAATTATATGGTCAAACTACGACAATACAATGCAAATTAAAAAACAAGACTGCCTGTTCGTTGTCACCTGCCTTAGCAGTTTAACACATTGAACGCCGCGTGAACTGTTAGCAATGCACGCGCATACTACCGTTCCGTTCTGCGTATTGCCTGCAACTCACATTTCGTGGACCAATTTCTTCCTAGCTAAGCATCGTTTGTGAACGATTAGCGTTGGATATATGCTCGATAGTTTTTCTTGTTCTACATTCTTATGGCTATAGCAGTCCATAGAACGAACTGCACTTTATGTGATAATTTTCAATCGATCCTTCCTCAGCTCTGCGAACTCAGTTGGCTAGAAGTTTGGGCTGTTTTGTTCCTCATATTGGTTGGTTTCTATTGGAATCAAGGAATTCGAAATTTTTTGTTTGGGAATTCGTTATTCCCAACAAAAAAAATAGAAATCTAAGGGTGCCATTGCTTCACGGAACTGACTTGCTCTTAGCACCTAATCTTCCAGAAAATGATGGCCGAGGATCCTTTATGAATGAATTCCGTTCGATTGAGTCGAGTGTAGCTCGCTGCGGACGGTTGGGCGTGTCAGGCGGGATGCATTTGGCGCGGTGCCAAACCCGTTTTCCACCAGTTGTTAAAGCGAGCAAATGATATA